TCCAGTACTTTGGTTTGTTTTTTTTTTTCCAATCTGTTACTTATGACATTTTGTTCTTCAGTTTACTTTCTGAACTTTGCTAATGTGTTTCTGAGTACATTTTATTTCCTTTAAGCATATTTAGCACCATGGTCTGAAAATTAACAGTTCTTTGTGTTATATTAAGAGATTTCCTCTTTTTAGTTTTACTTCTGATTTTTGTGAGTTTTACTAACTTTTGTTGAGTTTCAACAATTATTTTTTTCCTTTTGAAGTTTTGCATTTTTATTATAGGAGTTTTCTGATTGGTTACCTTGGTGACACAGTGCCCCATCACTTGGCTGCCTACCCTCACACTGAGGCCCACACCCACAGGCCACTCTGAGAAATGTAGCACACTGTCTCCACATTTTGAGAGGATAGAAGGAGAATTGATGCCTTTGAGCTGTGGTGCTGGAGAAGAGTATTGAGAATACCATGGACTGCTAGGAAAACAAACAGATTCGTCCTGGAAAGGGTTAAACCGGGTGGCTCCTTGGAGGCAAGGATTCCGAGGCTCCGTCTAACATACTTTGGACATGTAGTGAGGAGAGACCGGTCCTTGGAGAAGGACATCATGCTTGGGAGTGTGGAGGGACGGCGCAGGAAGGAAGGCCCTCTATGAGGTGGATTGATTCAGTGACTGGGATCATTGGGATGGGAGTGTCAGGGACAGTGCGATTGGCACAGGACAGAGCAGAGTTTAGGGCTGTTGTACATAGGGTCTCTATGAGTCGCAAGCGACTCGATGGCACATAACAGCAACAACAACTGTTGAGATGAAACCATCCCATAGCTGGCTTTCCAGTGGGCTTTCAGAGGCACTAAATTTCACAGGAGGAGATTGTCCATCCTTCTCCAGCGGAGTAGCCGACGGACTTGAACATGGTCTTTCAGACATTGGTGTGGTAAGGAATTGTGCTGTCAACACAATGGTCCATGGTTCAAATCTCCAGCTGCTCCGTGGGAGAAAGATGGGCACTTTCCTCCCATAGAATTTACTGCCTTTGAAAACCTACTGGAGGCTCAGTATGGGTTGGTTCTGATTCAGCGATACTGAATAAGAATGATAAGCCACCAGAGTCCCCTCCTGTACTTTTTAAAGCCTTGGTGTTGCAGATCGATGGTAAAGTATTTTTATAATTATTAATAATGAGACAAGAATGAGATAGAACCAGACCTTCCTACAGGCATATCTTTTGAAAACCACTAGATGGCACTCTTTGTACTTTGAGTATTGTGTTAATTTTTTTTTTTTTTACCCCACCTCAGGCTTGATTCTGGAATTCTTTATGAGTGGGGTCCCATGGGGCTTAGATGTGTGAAGATACTGCCATGAGGAGTGGGCCTCCACTTTCATGTGGCAACAGTATGAGTCTGTCTTTCTCTCACTGCTGCCTTTGCATAAACACCTCAGAGCCTCGTTATGAAGAATTAGCTCATTATTAAGACCCTGTTCCAAAATGGTTGTGATGATTGAGAATTCCCAGTGTAAGCAGGTAGGATTGACTGGTTTCTTTTTTTTTTTTTTTTTTTAAGCAACGATGTATTGTTTGACAAAACTATTTTTCAGAGTATGCTAGGAATTATACAACTTAAAAACAAAAACCTCCTATTCAAAATTTCTCTAGATCTATTTAACAAGTCTTATTGTTTAAATAAACATCAAGTTTAAATGCATTTTACATCCATTTTCACACCATCGTGTCTTTTCCTACTGAGTTGACAATTCAATCAACGTTTCCATAGTTTTGTAAACTGTAAATGAACGTTGGCAAAATTAACCATAAGCATCACAATTTGCATTCAGAGATGACTTAAAATGGTTAATTCTGGAGGACACACCAGGATCCATTCTGAACACAAGCTCTCATGTTTTGTAGACAGTAGTTCACATCACACTATCCCATGTATTCATGTACCCATAAAACGTTCATAAAAAGAAGAGAAGGCAAGAAAAAAAAAGCTAAAGACTGGGTTTTTTTCCGTTTGTGGTTAATACGGTGGATGACATTGGATTGTACCTCTTTGGTGATCAAAGGAATGAGAAGGATAACCTCACCTGATGCTAGTGACATCAAGATTGGAGGATTTAAATGAGGGTCAAATGAAAAGAAAAAAAATAGTCCTCCTCATCACTAATCCTCTTATTCTGAATGTGAGCACTTCTTTTTGAAAGTAAGCAGCACATGTAAAGAAAAAGAGCCGGCAGAAAATGGGCATGTGCTGATACAAGAAATTAAACATTTTCATTATTAACCCCAATATCTTCATTTGTGGAGCAAACAAATAAGACATTTTCAATATTAAAGTCTTTAAGGTCTTTTCAGAACTTTCATTTATTCAGAACTTTCACCTTATATTTTTCCAGCTTTCATTTGAAAGATACAGAAACTGCTTTACATTTCCCCATGTGGGGAAAAAGATTTACTACACTGAAATGGCTTCAACTATATCAACTGAAACAAAACTATTGCTTCTACTTAAGCTATGTGAATTCAGTAGTATTTCAACTTGGAGGAAATTAAAGGCAACTCCCCTACCACACACT